GAAAAAAATCAATCACTTTCACTAGCCCGGCCACGAGTGTTTGTCATAGTCAAGTTTCTGGTCGGGTCTCCTCTTTGGGGTCTTTGCCTGCTCGCCCCCAGCTCCGCGTTGTGCCGACAATTTTTATTGCTGCTTTTCACCCATTTACGCCGGCGATCTCTACACGTACCAAAAAACAACCAGAAATAGTGAGCAAACTACCAGCAAAACAGCAAAGAAAAAGGTTTTGGCTTAGCCACCAACGAAACGAGTTTCGGTTTTTGCGAATGCAATAGGAGACAAAGTTTTGGGGCACATAAAAAATATAGTATAAATAGCCACAAACCCAATACTCTCTCAAATGGTGATTGACTAGAAAAATGTCGGTCAAATTTGATGTTATCTTTACTACAGATGATTAAGAGGAATAAGTTAATGTGCTACAGATGTATTTATTTATAAATCTTGCTAAAGCCACAAAGAAGTTTAACAGTTAAGTTTCCCTAACACTTTTTTATGGTGCAAGAATAATTGTCAATGACATATATAAAAGGAAATACATTCAATAGATTGTACTAAAAGAAGTTTAAGCATAAGTTGACTAAAATTAGTTTAAGAAAAGATTACCTATGTTCCCAAAGGTTTATTAAGAAAGAAAGCTAACTGTCTGTTAGTTTTAACTAGTTAATAAATCTGCATACTCAATTTTAAATTTTTAATTTTTCCAATTTTTGTAAATTTTAACGATGTAACCCCTTATAATTTTTTGCAAAAATCGATTCGGCTTTTGATGCTGATCAAGACAATATATGATTTATAGGGTCGGAAATGACTCCTTCTGTTCGTTCAAGTTCCTGACTAAAATTATAATACCCTGATAGGGTATAAAAAAAAAACAAGAATTTCTGTCAGGATACCCAATAAAGCCAAGTTCTTAACTCAATTTCTCTGACTTTCCTCTGACGGCCACTTACAAACTCATACTATAAATTGTACCTATATTCAGACACTTTTAAACTTAAATAGCAATTTGTTCAATATGTTTTAAATGTTTGTACGTTATAAAAACAATAGGGTTCCCTTGAGGCTATCAAAGATTCCCAAATTATGGGATACCCTTTGGAAAGTGTAAGAGGAGACACCCGCACAGAGAGCATGAAAATTATGCTACTCGAACGTTCAGTGAACTCACGATCGCTCGCTATCGTCGCCTTCTGAGTGTCTGAGCTGGCTTTTGTTGTCAAAACTGTCAAGTCAAAAGTTCAAAGCGCACAAACAACAATGTTAAATGGCCCAGAATGAGGTCTATGGTGCAATAGGCTTCCAAGAACCAAGTTTTACGGCAGCCCAAAACTGCGGGGTCTTGACATCAAGCGGCTTCTAACGGAGCGTCCCTCTTGCTCTCTCTGGCTTTTCGCCCCTCTTTTGAAACGCAGCTCGGAAAAGTTTTTGAGTTAATGGCCACTTTGCTCATTATAAGCCAACTAAAACTGACTGAGGCTCAAACTCTTTGTGGTTTCTGTGGTTCTTACTGCTGGATGCTCCTCTTTCTCGCTTAGTGGAATTCCGCCCAGAGGCCCAAGCGCTTTGTGTGGCCTGCGGGCGCTTTCAATTTTCGCAAATTTTAATCTACTTGATGCCGAAAAATGGCACAAAGTTAGCGGCCGCAAAAACCCAAGTCTAGGAAATTGAATAGAAAACTAACTGAAGCGGTTTTCCAGCAGGCCTTAAATCTTTCTGGATAGAAAATAAAATATTAAATATGTTTTATAAAATATATCAATCTCTGGCAGTAAAAACCACTATAAAATATGCCATCATTTTTCCAATCAATGCCTCGAAAGAAATAATAATAAATTAGGAAATAAAACTCAGAATCATGAACTTTTGGCAAAGGAATAGCAACTCCCCTTTAACGTAATTCATTTCATTAACCACATTCCCTTCTTTATCACCGCACACACATAGAGAGGGAGAGTGGAGGAAAGCGTCCATGAAAAATGGCATAAAAATAATGTGTGATTTATAAATAAAATGGCCATTCGGCATTAAATATAAGAGCCCGTCCAACGCGGCGTATACGCGATAATGATGAGGCAAAAGGTTCGGCCAGCTCTGGCTAGTTTTCCCAAAAAAAATATACTGGGCACACCCAGAGCTAGAGAGGAAAAGCCAAAGCAAATCGACAATTAGAAGCCAAGTTAGTGGCCTCTAAGTGAGTGAGTGACTCACCGAGCATGGCTTTTTGCCCCACAATGCGCTCACTGACCCAAATTGTGGCCAAGTGAGCAGCAACGAACGAGGTGCCTGAGATTATGTTGGCCGCAGAAAACATAAATCCAACTGCCGGTCAACATTTCCGGAATTTTGATGCATTTTTAACTGAGAGGAGGCAGGGAGGGAGCGAGGTAGGATAGCGGTTCCAGGCATGCGTTAATAGAGTGTGAAAGAATTTTTACTGCAGCCCGCAAAGTGGTAAACTAACAATTGAGTGCCAGACCGAAACCTTAAGAGCAAAGCTAATTTAAGAAGGTATTCATGGGAAGCAGTAAGAGCAGTATAAATGGAGCCATAAAGAAATTAATGGTAAAGTAAACAATTATTCAATTTAAAGCTTGAGGTTCAAAGGTATTTGATGAAGAAAGTAGTATGTATGTTGAGTTTCATATACCCAATATTATTATAGGAATCATCCCATATATCTTAGACTCTAAAATGATAGGAAATCCATGTCCAGCATGGCCTAAACCAGGCAAAAAAAGAACAGAGTCAGGCCAAAAGAGAAATTCCGCAAGCTCTACTCAAAGTGTCTGGTAATTTACTGGCTTAACTTCCGGATGGCAGACTGCTGGAGTCCAAACAAACTACGTTCAGTTCATGATTTAGTGTGTTAATTGTTTTTGCTGTCTTCTGGTACCGGAACCACAAATCGGACCCAAGAAAGGCCACACCAGTAGCCAGTAAATATCCATTAAACGACATCAAACATTTCTTTTTTATTTGGCATTTGTAAGCCATGCGAAAAGAATGCCACAAATGACATTTTCCACTCAGCAATTTTATCTCCATCAATTCGATTCGTTTATTTATTGAACTGAAATCTGTGCACGAATGTCAGTTTCGCTCTCTCATTGATTGAAATTTGTTTTTTGGGAAATCTTTTGCATAACATTGACACAACTGAGCCAACTGAACACAAAAGCCGGATCTAATACATATCCCCGATGTCCTTACACCACGGAGCAGCTCCAAATGTAATCGAAACCACAAGTGGGTTGGGAGGGCGGTGGATTGGTGGCCACACAAAGCCAGGACCCTCACATCAATCAAATACATTTTCGTTTTTTGTTTACTTTTGCCGGTTTGCTTAGCCAAAGAGAGATTTCTATACACTAATTTTATCGATTTTTGCCTTTGTTGGGCCAGCTTACATTTTAAATGGGAAATTATGTAAATGAAACTTTTGTTTGCGGCATTTGGGAAATGCCTGAAAAGGATTTGATTTCGATTGTATTGCCAAAGGATTTGCTCGGAACGAGAGAAAAGTGCTTTTCGCTGAGACAAAAGCAAATACTTTGAAATTGATACTTGAGAATGTTTGACTTGCCGTGAGTTACATTTCTGGGGGTCTAAAGTGAGGCGTTTCTTAAGCCCTACCAATGAAATCGATTAATATTATATTATAACTGATAAATCAGGTAATTAATAGCACTATACTTTAGTACAAATAGCTTGTCAAGTTGTAATGGCTCCTTACTGGATTATTTTATAATTCGTAATCTGTAATCTGTAATTCTTCACCTTAAGCACCTACTTACTATAGAGCAGTTCCGGCGATAACAAAAGTAGTAGCCACAAGTAGTCAGAAATGTAATCTTCACAATGCTTTATCAACTTTCTAGGAACCTAATGTCATATAAATATCTTGATTTAAAATCTTGGAAACCCCAAAAAGTAATTACGGTCATAAAATACAACGATAATGTTCTTGTCTTTTGGTAGTTAAATCTGTGATATGACAGACATGTATCGATTTTTAATTGATTTGATATAAATGAAACCATAATACGAAATCAATTAGCACAACTCTTGTTTCAAATTTAAATTATTAGAGGTTAATGATTTTCATTAATGTGATAAACATAATGTCGCCATTTTGAGAATTTCTTAAAAACAATCAGCTAAACTTTGATTTGAATAAGTGTGTTTTTCTATGCGGCACAACAATTTGATAAACATTCTTGGCTGATAAGCTAAAAGGCTTGTCCGGCCGCTAGCTAAGGAAGTAATGTGGCAAAACTATGGAAATAATGCCACAAGACGACTTATCACATAGGGGCCTTGGCCTGCTCTCAGATAAAAACTGAATGGATGAATTGAGAAATTGTTGTGGCAATTGAGCGAGTGACAATGTGGAAAAACTGCAATTTATAAAAAAAAAGATAAAATAAAAGAGCTACAGACTAAGAGAGTTAAAAACTAATGCCAAGATATGTTTTTTATAAATAAAAAAATAAGAATTTGTTTAAATCAGATTTGAGGGTAATAAATCAGTCAATACAGAATGAGAAAATGCTATTTAAATATTGTTAATATAAGCGACCGAAGAAGTGGGTTTGTTCTTTTTTATTATACCAGAATCAAGTCAGTTTTCAACAAAGGTTCCATTTCCACTGTATATTATTGAACCTTATCAAGTCCGTTTTCTTTTTGATTTTGCATTAATTGGGTCTATCTTATCGTTTACCTACGCACTACAAAAAAATGAGTAAGAAATACTGCATTGTAGGAAGCAATATATATATATAAATATAACTTTCTTTCTACACTGAATATCGAAAAAATATATATAATTGACAACGGAGGCCTGCTTTTAAACACTAGCAATATTTTGCAACATCTTTTTACTCCTACTCCCATCATTGAGCTGCTCCCCCTGCTTAATTTCACATACTAGGCCTCCACTCGCCTGTCAGCTTAAGCCTTTCACTTTCTTTCCGGATCTCTTGCATCCCACTCACCTTGGGTCCTCGAGCAGCTTCTCGGCCTGTGCGAGCCGCAGACGCACCGTCTTCATGCTCTGGATGGGGAAGAGGCGGCAGAAGCGCGTCAGGAAGGCGGGCCGCCAGCAGAAGCGTGGAAACTCCCGACACACCTCCCACAGCCGGGTGTTGTGCTCGAAGAGATATGTGTGCGTCTTGCCGAAGTTCAGGTAGTCCAGCATGTCGGCGTAGTCGCAGTTGAGCAGGTTCTTCAGATTTTGCACGGCCAGCTCCTGGTCGTCCGGGTCCCGGATCTGCTTGATGCCAAAGTCCAGCAGGGGCTCGTAGTGGTAAAAGTTGCCCGGTATCGAGTTGAGTATATCGCCCAGGAAGGTGGAGCCGGAGCGCCACGATGTGACCACCACGCTGCGCACCGGAGTGCCGTTCGTCTCCGGCGTCATGTCCGCCAGGCGCTCGGCCCCGCCGCGTGGATACTCGAAGTTCTCCATCTCGGTGAGGATGCGCGACCGTTGAGCCGACAGGACATCCACTATAGTAGCTGTCAGATTGTAGACGGCCGTTTGGGACGGCTGCTGCTGCTGCAACTGCTGCTGGAAGCGGTCGTAGAAGGCGCTGCGCGCCAGAGAATTGGAGGGCCCCCCGTCCACGCCATAGGCATTGCCAGGTCCAACACCGGCACCCGCCCCCGCTCCCTGATCCCGGCCAGCGGCCTGGTTGAACGGAGTGGTCAGCGGACGGTGCTGGGTGGTGGCGATCAGCAGCAGGATGCACAGGCTGCTCACGCCGCAGATGCCGATCAGATTGGCCCTGCGCGACATTCGGCTGCGTCGCCGCTTCCCGCTCAAGCTGATGCGCTGCTTAGCGCGTGTCCTGCCGGTATCGACGGGTCCGAGTCCGGGTCCGGGTCCGTTCGATGCTTCCGCCTTCGCGTTAAGCAGCGCGCACGACTCCAAGTCCTGGTCGAGGTCCACGTCCGCCTCCGAGCCGGCTGTGCTCATTGGTCGCGGCGAGGCGAGGCGCTGCTCCTGGCTGGATTCCTGGTGGCCACTGCCCAATGGTTCGCCAACGGCCAAGGGCTAATGGTATTGACTAATTGGCAATGTAACGATGTAACTGGCACCGCTCAGCACTTGCACATTACTGGCCCGCTGGCTCGTTCCCGCACGCACATAGTTATCGCCCGCGCCCTCAGCTTGAGAGCATTTCACAGATCGGTGCAGATATCGCGTATTATTATTAATATCTTTGTTTTTCTGCTGGGGCTTTTCCGCGACACGACCGAACGAAACAATGAAAACAACAGAGTTGCCAGCTTAGCTTGTATCTGGCACACTTGAAAGTGGAGAGCTTTTGGAGTTTCCAACTAGAAAATAGCCACTTTCCGATTGTGTTTATCGTTTTTGTTTTGGAGGGAAAAACGCTAAAAATGTATCTGTCTCTGAGCTGTTCCAAGTTTTTTGGTGGGATCTTGCTCCATCTCAATGTTGCCAGTTAAGCTTACTGCTATATTTGAAATTGGAATAGCTTATAAAGACTAGATCTAGTTTTCTTAATTGCACATATTGCAGACCTAGATTTTATTTAATTTTAGCTATTTTAACCCAGAACTAGAGTTTCCTTAATTTCAGCTAGTATGTGTTTTCTAGTTTTTTTAAAGCTAACACAGCTTTTAATAACCCAAATGGATAGCAGCACTGCCAGTGCTGCCAACTTGTTCAAGCTAATATAACAAAAGACAAAGCGGTCATACTTCGATAACCGCCGACGCAATTGAAATTAAAACAGTCTATTGCGGCTGCGATTCCTTGGACAGGTTCCAGCCGTTCTATTTTATCCTTGATGGCCTACTGATTTCATATAGTTATTGTTACTAAAGTGGCAGACCCCACCATATCAAAATCAAAACAAAACACAATAGATTAATTTTCTGTAAAGAAATGCTAAATTTACTCAAGTTATGCTCACAAATTTTATAGTCACTTCTGGTACTTGAACTTTCTTGTTAGTTAATTTTCATTCCTTAATTTCATATACGTTGTTATGTCTGTGTTGTGATTAATCTGCGCCCAGAAATATATACTATATATATATTTAGGCCTTCCCCATGTTCGGTTCGAATTTATCGGCTGAAAAGTGCTTAAAGTCCTGGATCGGACGATAGTCCCAGAGATCCATGGCCTCGGCACAGACATTTTGAACAGCCTGAATGTCTTTCAAGGTCATTTTGTGCAACCACTCATAGGCGGGCTGGTTCGAGTACTTCCAGGGAAAATCCCAGCCGAGCGACTCAACGACTTCGCCTCCTCGTCGATTAACCATGCGAGTTCTTATTTTGGGTCTGTCCATAGGTATCCCGTAGAAGTCGAAGACCATATTGATGCTCTCCTCTGGATGCTCCACAGGTCTTCGTAACGGATGATGCTGTAAAGAACAATAATTTTAATAATATAATAGCCAAGATAAAAACTGCACTTACTCAAAGCGTCGGGGATAGTTCTTAGACAAGATCTCCGCCACCTTATGATCGCTGACCATGTCGTTGCATAGCGTCTTGGCATCACAATCCTCTTCACCCACACACCATTGGCTCTGCCTGCGCATATACATCGTTCCTCGAGGATCACGAACGAGCAGCAGGATTCGCAGGTTCAGTCTGCGGAGTTCCATCAAAGGAATAGCTTAAGAATAATCGGCAATCCCACCCACTTACCCTTCCTTCTCCAGCAATGAGACCAGGAACTCAAGCCTCAAGTTGTACACTGCCATATTGATGAATGGATGCACCTTGCAGACGCCAGCCATGACCTCCGGATCCCAGCACTCCGCCAAGCTATGTGTCAGGCAGGTTTTTGACTGGGCGCCGTAGAAACGCCGGAAGACCGCCGATCGCATGCCCCAGTAGATCATCTCCGCTGACTTGTTGTAGTTGCAATTGTACAGTGACACCAGTTCATCCAGAACTTTAGAATGACTCCTCTGCGCTGTGCTCCGGTTGTGGTAGGCAATCAGTGGAGCATAGTGCTGATAGCAACCGGGCTGGTGGGCCAGGTTGTCCAAAAGGGTGAGTGCTCCCGAGCCCCGGAAGGAGACCAGCAGTGAACGGACCGGTTGGCCCCCCGTTTCCAACGTGTAGTTGCTCAAGTTTCCAAGATGACGAGTTTTATAGGCCACCACAGCCCGTTGCAGGGTTACAGGGTCCGGGATCAGCGCGGGCAGCAGGAAGAACACAAAGACGACATAGGACATGTAGACGCATACACAGATGCCCGTCAATTTGGTTGCTCGCGATAATTGGACCATGATTGTGAATTCAATTTTTATATTCCGAAACGCGTATGACAAAAAATTTTAAAGTCAATTTTCATGTGTAGTTTTTCTGAGAGCAGATGTGTGTCTACTGAGAAGGTCCAACCAAAGCCAACTAATATTCCCTTTTGCACAAAGTTTGGTTGTTTATTGTTCGTAACATGCTAACTTTATTTGCATATTTTGTGTATTTAATATAAGTACTTTTAAATAAGAGTAAAAATGGTTATTATTTAAAAACTAAATCGCTAATATTACCATATTTAATACGTAAATATATGTATTTTAATTTGCTTCTATGTATTCTGTATAAGATCTAATATGCTGCTAAAAAAACATCCAAAGAGAACAATTAAGTTTTCAAAAATGTATAGAATATGTTTCGGACTAGGATATCCCGCTAACAGTTCGATTTGTAAAAAAAATATAAATAAATTCGAATAATTGGTCAGCAGCATATTATAATGTTCTATTAAATCTCGTTAAATTTCTATAGATCTCTGGCACTAATTTTGTATTCCGCAACAATCGAACACCTGTATTATGCTTCAATACGTATATATGATTTGAAGGTATATCTGCTGTAAAGTCTGTTAATTTTATAATCAAGGCAAAGGGTTTTCAATGAGGATGATGATGAGGATGATAAGAGGCTAAGCTCATGCTGAATATGGCCATCATAAAAGCAGTTTGAGAAGTTATCCTTAAAGTACATGGAATATTGTTGAAGATAAAAGCTCTGATCTCCAACGTAGCTTACTGATGATCTTATGGTGGGAATTTGTGGTGCAAAATTAAATATATCCTAATGCATACGTATTGTAATTGTAAGTATAAGGTTATAAATTATTTTCGATTTTGAATACGTAATTGCGAATGTTCTTACTTAGGTACTTACAAATCAACTAAGGAACCAGTTGGTACTAGCCCCAAATATAAGCTAGGATAATGGTTCATATTTGGGACTCGGATACTCCACCAACTTTAAAGTACATATTTCCAAATTAATACTAAATGTTTAATACCATTAGCTGTCCGTTCCACGAATGTCTGTCTTAATCGCTGTTGCCCTCAGTCTCATCGTCCAGCAACAAGCTTGTCGAACCATAGCTACGGAGTCTGAAACGAAATCAAGTAATTATTTTTGAACAATATAAATATACTATATTAAATAGACAAATAATTAACAAGGGCAAAATTAAATGGTTAATAAATAATAAAATATATATACCTCCTTTAACTTCCCATATTCTCATTGATTAAGAAAAATAAAATAAATGAGAAATCATAAATTTCACCGCCTGCAATCTCACCTCATCATCGGATACCTTGAGACCATCAAGATTAATGCTATTCCTGGCATAGCCCACCCCAGCCGACTGCTCCTTCTCATGAGCCTCGTACAGCTGCCGGTTTAACTCATCCTTGCTGGAAGCTGTGCTACTGCCTCCCCCGTTTGTCATTCCCTTGAGTGGCAGAGCGAGATTCGCCCGGCTGGCATTGCTCCCAGCACTTCCATACGTCCATTTCCGGATCGCTGCCTCTGGTGATGATGGTGATGCTGTCCATGGGGATTATCGAACTTTTGCTTGGCCCGCTCGAACTCTAGATTCCTTGACTTCGACTCGAAGATGTTCTCCTCCAGATGCGTGGGCTTGGCATCATAGAATGCGGCCGCTGCAGCAGCCGCCGCCGCTGCCGTGGCAGCAGAGTTGCTCTGCTGTTGCTGGAGAAGCGTTCGCTCCGTGTGACTTGACCTCTTGACGGAGGCAGCATGATGGGCAGCTGCATCGCTGCCATTGTGGGAGCTCCTCAAGCCAGCCTGCGAGTCATCGAAGATCTGACGCAAGTCGTTAATGTTCGGCAGACAGTCGTTGGGCAGCTCCACGGCTATCTTATTCCTGAGCTGCACCCCGCCCAATCCCCGCAGCTGCGGGCTCGGGGCACGTCTAGGGTTTAGTGGGTTAGGAGTTGGGTTAGTTAATAGTAAGCCAGCACCATTGAAATGTTAGTTAAAGTTAGAATTGGTCGCAAGACTACTAGTATTATTATGTGAATATATTTTAAAGGGACTTACCTATTCTGTAAATGTTGAATCTGCACTTGCAGGCCTTCTGTCTGACCCACAAGCTCATCGTTGGAGCGCTGTAATCGCCGCACTTGGTTCACTGCCGAATCCAGTTCATCCTCGGCCCCAGCTAACTCGCGTTTCAGCTCCTCCACCGCTGGCGTAGACGCTTGACCTGGAACAATGAATTAGATGGTATAATATATACAGATTTTGTTTACAAGAAAGACAGCATGAGTCTGATTAACATAAATTACCGGGAGGTTATTATAAGGGAGCTTAATATAATAAAAATCTACAAAAGACTTTAATTATTCTAATACAAGAATTATTGATGCAACTTCATGTTATGATCTATTCTATACTCAGAGTCAGAGTATCCTGAACATCATTGACAAATGTTATGCTAGACTATCTCCTAGCGGAACAGATACTAATTGATTAGATCAATAATTGTGTAGTGTTTGTTTATATTTAAAATTGATCTTTCACAGTAAAAAGGTTAATTAAAACTGGTATTCCTATGATTAGTTCCTCAACTGTAAGAAATCTTCCACTGCACCCGAGACGCTTTGCTGTCCCCATCCCCCCGTTCTTTACACTGATCTCTAAGCAGAAAGCGCACTAAATGGGGCGTATCTTCCGTCCTCCAGTGATAAGGAGAGCCGACCCCCGCCAAGCTGCGATAACACTTGAAAAGTTTCCTTTCACACTCGCCTCACTCTTGGTTTCTATCGTCGTCAAGTCAGAAATAAATGCGATAGTGCGAAAATTTAGAACCCGCGCCGCAGATTACGATCAGTGGGCAGAACAACAATATTTTGTTTCGGGTAAACAAAACCCAGAAGAGCGAGGAGACCAGCGGGAGAATCGAAAGCTTTTGGCTCTCGCTGCAGCTTGGAGCTTTCTTCATCATTCTCTCGTCGAACGTCGTGCCAAGCAGCTGTTCTGCGGAGAACCGGCTGACTTATTCCCCAAACCAGAAACACACACAAAACTGTAGAAAGATGATTGCGCAAAGTGTAATCAGCAGACTGAGTCCCTGCGCCCGTCGCCTGGCCAGCTCGAGCTCCAAGGCCGGGGCAGCGGCCAAGTTCAACTGGCAAGATCCCCTTAACCTGGAGAGCCAGCTGACCGAGGAGGAGGTGGCCATTAGGGACGCATTCCGCGGCTACTGCCAGGCGGAACTGCTGCCGCGCGTCAAGATGGCCAACCGCCTGGAGCAGTTCGACAAGAAGATCATGGAGGAGATTGGCAGCCTGGGTGTGCTTGGGTGCACCCTGAAGGGATACGGCTGCTCTGGAGTCTCCAGTGTGGCCTACGGCTTGCTCACCCGCGAAGTGGAACGTGTGGACTCCGCCTATCGGTCTGCCGTCAGTGTTCAGAGCTCCCTGGCCATGGGCGCCATTTACGACTACGGCTCCGAGGAGCAGAAGCAACGCTATCTGCCCAGCATGGCACAGGGCAAGCTAATTGGTGAGTCCACATCAAAGAATCCCTATTACGTAAAGTACCTCGACTTTTATTTAAAAAATAAAAGCAAAAAAGTAAACAATGCTTGTTCCCACTTTATCCAGGCGCCTTTGGACTGACTGAGCCCAACCATGGCAGCGATCCCGGCGGCATGGAGACCCGCGCCAAGTACGACAGCAAAAGCAAAACATACATCTTGAGTGGTTCCAAGACTTGGATTACCAGTGCGCCCATCGCCGATGTCATGGTCGTCTGGGCCAAGTGTGAAGATGGCAAACTCCGCGGTTTTCTGGTGGATCGCAAGATCTCCGGCCAAGGATTGGACACGCCCAAGATTGAGGGCAAGTTTTCTCTGCGTGCCTCGCCCACGGGTATGATCCTGATGGACGATATCCGAGTGCCGGAAGAGCAGCTGTTGCCCAAAGCCCTTGGCTTTAGTGGTCCCTTCAACTGTCTGAACAATGCTCGCTACGGTATTGCCTGGGGCGCTCTGGGCGCTGCCGAGGCCTGTGTAGAAATCGGACGCCAATATACCCTAGACCGAAAGCAATTCGGCCGGCCCTTGGCCGCCAATCAGCTTATCCAGAAGAAGCTGGCCGATGCCACCACCGAGATCGCTTTGGGTCTGCAGGCATGTCTGCACTTGGGCCGTCTCAAGGACCAGAAATTGCATACACCTGAGATGATTTCGATGCTGAAGAGGAACAACACCGGCAAATCCCTGGACATTGCCCGACAGATGAGGGATATGCTGGGCGGCAATGGCATCAGTGACGAGTATCATGTGATTAGGCATGTGATGAACCTGGAGTCGGTCAATACCTATGAGGGAACGCACGATATTCACGCCTTGATTCTGGGTCGGGCCATTACTGGACTGGCGGCTTTTGCCAACTGATTCTCCAGGGATCAGTAAAGTTCTTTGCATTTACCAAACTGTTCGATGTTCGCGTGTCTTTGTGAATAAATGTGTTAAATTAATCCAATTTGGTGCCGAAATCTTCGAATGGTCTCTCAGTTTCCCTTAGCTGATAAGCTGATATGCGCAATCTCGCCATATATATCATACGATAAGGTTTTAGACTGTGGATTAACTCACCTCTGCCTCGTACTGCTCCGCACGGCGCACGGCATGGCCCAGTTCAGTGTTGGTTTCGGCCAGTAGCTTCTTGAGCTTGGCATGCGACATCTTCACCTCACTTATTTCCTTGTTGCGCTCGGAGAGCTCCTGCTGCAAAGCCCGTACCTCAACGTCGTTGGCCTGCATGGGGCGGCACTTGCGATCGGAACGCTCTTGGTAGTCCCGTAGCTCGGCGCGGAGTTTCTTGTTATCTCGTTCCATGGCCAACTTCTCGGATTCCAGACGCTCACGCTTGCCCCACTCTGAGGCATTCTCCGCCTGCAAATGCTCGAGCTCGGTGCGCAGTTCTGTAAGCCTGCGCTCCAAGTTTTCACGCGCAGCGATTTCCTCCTGCAACGAGTTGTTTACGATACGCATCTCAGCGCGATGTTGCTCCTGCAGTGTAAGAAGTTCGCGCACAGCCTCTTGCTTAGCGGAACGCATCTCCTCCTGACGACCGCGCACATCCTGGATCTCCAGCGACAGCTTCTCGATACTCTTGTGCAGCTCGAGCTTTTCACTAAGCGAAAAAACGAAATTTAAGCCAAGAATTATCATACAAACACTTTGTTTACTCACTCCCTCTCAGCCTGAAGTGTTTTCTGCGCTTCGTCGAGACGCAACTGAAGCATGGATATCTTCTGCATCAAGTAGTCCTCATCGAAGTCGTCCTTGGAGAGCTGCTGAATCAGGCGTTTCTCTTCTGCAGCAGCTGCTTCATCCAACTCTGTCAGATGCTTGGGCATTGCGCCCTTCATAGCAAACTCCTCAATGTCCAGGTCCTTTACATCGTTGGGAAGCTTCGTGACCAGCCCGTCCTCGCTGTTGACATTCTTCAGGCCATCCGAGGAGATGTCCGGCGAACAGTTGGCGTCGCGACCATTGGCCTCCGCGTCCTCGCTGGTGTCAGCACGATGAAACTGGCCGGCGTGCTTCATCATTAGCGTGTGCACCTTCTCCATCTCCTTTTTCAGCTGCGTGATCTGCAGCTCGAGATCGTTCTTCTCCCGCTTCAGGGAGTGTGACTCCTTCATGGCGACGTCCAGTTTGACACTCAGCTGCTTGGACTCTTCTCTTGCCTTGTTCCGTTCGTTCGCACCTGCGGGAGGTGAGAAAAAGTTGTGATATTAGACACCGGCTGTATTGACCCAACGGGAAGCCATGGCAACCATGATTACCTTACTCCACTTCTCTCGCCAGTTGGCAGTGCAGTCGGACCTGGAAAGCGTAGGTTGTGTGATTAACAGATAAGCCGGGTTTCGCTAGTTGCATCGTACTTACCACCACTTCATGGTCTTCTCCATCTGCGCCGCCCTAGCACGAGCTTCGTGCAACTCCCGTTGCCGCTGAGACTGTCAGTGAGAAGAGAAGAGTTTAACATGTGCGGAATAGAAGTATCAAGTTCTTCACAAACCTCTCGCGCCTCCCATTCTGTCTCGCCGTAGCGGGCCGACATGGTGGTCCCCATGACGCCCACCACATCGTTGGTCATGGGGCGTCTGCTGCCCCCCACCGGTGCAGCGGCTGCACTCTGCGTTGTGGATGCCGCCTGTGACATTTCGCTAGTGTCGGCTGTTAACTGCTGTTGGTCCACACACTTCTTAGCTGCGCTGTTGCATTTTGGGAATTTTTACATGCAGTTTTTTGTGGAACAAAGCTCTGGCTGAATACAGAAAATAAATTGCAGTGGCATTCGCCTGTAAACGTCATCAGCTGATGTTGTTAACGAGTGCATGTGAATGGTCTACTGCAACTTGGTAGTCTCTAATTTTTTGTATAAACGCACATCGAGGATATTTACTTCGCCATATTTGCGGAAAAAAAAAATTTTTTTAACTTTATTAAAAATGTATCTTTCAAAAACCAAGCTGGAGCACTTAAAAACTCTTAACATGTAGGTGGTTTATTGTTTCAGACGGACTACGGTCACACTGAAAACACTTCCGCTAACTGCCACACCAGAAAAGCCGCAATATTTTTCCAGAAATTGTTTTCCCTCAATAATTACGAAAAATTCAATTAAAACATGGCCAAGCATCATCCGGATTTGATTTTCTGCCGCAAGCAACCCGGCGTAGGTAAGTCCTCACATTTTTCCACCATATTTCAGTCTATAATCGTGTTCTTTATAATGCGGTAGCCATTGGACGCCTGTGTGAGAAAGACGACGGAAAATGTGTGATCTGCGACTCCTATGTGCGGCCCTGCACCCTTGTCCGCATCTGCGATGAGTGCAACTACGGCTCCTACCAAGGCAGGTGCGTCATCTGCGGTGGTCCCGGTGTATCCGATGCATACTACTGCAAGTCCTGCACCATACAGGAAAAGGATGTGAGTTCAGGGCGTTTTTTAGGGTGTATATTCCGATAATCTTTTACATATCCATTTGTAGCGCGACGGCTGCCCCAAGATCGTGAACCTGGGAAGCTCCAAGACTGATCTGTTCTATGAACGCAAGAAATATGGCTTCAAACAAAAGTACGCATCCACCAGTAGCTAGCCACGAAACAGTTTGAATTTATACATAAATTATTCCCACTAATTATAATTTCTTTACAGCTACTGATGTCCTCTCCACTACCTCGTACATTGCTAATACATTTTTATTGTAATTTAACATATAAACATAGGTTTGGATAAATGAATGTTTGGAGTTTCTTCTTATGCTTAGATAGTTAGGAGTTTCTCCTCGCCACCGATGTCGTATTGCAAACAGAGGCGGTCGAACTCCGCGGACTTTTTGTCCAGATCGGTGACAAAGTCGCTCTTGGGGTAGAACTGGCGAAGCTGCTCCAGGTTCCGGTTAACAGACTCTGCCGGCTTTCCAGTGAGATGAGCTAGAACCATGAGGTTGATGAGCGTGTCATAGTCGTTGTGCTTCTTCAGCAGCGATTCGCGTAGGACGGCATCCGCCTCCTCGTAGCGCTCGAGGCCCAAATGAACCACCGCCTGACCATTTAGCAGAGCCGGGGTGGGCTTGAACTTCTCACAGAATTCTTGATAAATATGGAAAGCGTCCTGCATCTGTTCCGTGCCCTGGGCGAGAGCTACCCACGCCTGTGCCAGTTGAGTCAGCGTGGCATCGTCGCTAATCTCCTGCATCTTGGCCACCAGTTGCTTGGCCAAGTCCACGCGCTGGAGGCGCAGCAGGCACTGCACAGACAATGCCATCGATTCCAGATTCGTAGAGCCATGTAAGATTTTTAGGGCGTTCTCGAACTGTCCATCATGGCAGTAGACAATCGCGGTAGCAATGTGCCAGATGTTGGTCTCATCCTCGTCGCCAGCCACTTTATCGGTGAGCTTCTCCAGCAGTTCCTCCGTGCGGGACGGCTGCTCAAATGCCTCGTGCACCAGACGCAGAGCCTGCAGGGGCGTGGTATTGTTCTCCTTGATGTCCGAAGCCACTATGCGTCCTGAATCGATCGCCAAGTAGGAAAGGTACATGTAGGACAGCAGTTCCGATGCAGCAGTTCCCTGCTCCGGCAGCACAACGTTGATCGAGCCCATGAAGTTGCCAACATAGTACTCATTGCGGGCATCGAACAGCACTGAGTTGGTGTCTTCTTCGTTTTGCTGTCTGCTCATTTTTATATTTTAATGGCTTATTGCAAAGAAATATTGAATTTATTATTTTGGGTGAGCTGGCTTTCCGTCGAGTTGTCAAAGTGTGACCGTATCGCATTTGAAAAAATCCCATTACAGTCTGTCACTAAATAAGGTGGTTTCATGATGACCCAATGCGAGAATTCATCTTATTATAACTATTTTATATATTTTGTTTCTCTTTAGCACTAGTTTTTCTGTAATCGAAGACAGAGAGAGCGAGAGTAAAACCTGTTGTTGTCCCCAACAAAGTCGAATACGACCTTATATTATTCCACCATGAGCGCCACCATTTTCCAGCCGTCTGGCCAGTGCTGTAAAGGCCGGCTTCAAATACCTTTGCATTTCTACTCTTTATTTTTAAACGCCACAAGTGTTTTTTTAGTTTCTTATCAGGAATGTACAATTCGAAAAGCCAAGACCTTGACCGGGAGTATTTTCCTAGCTATCATACTACCAGGTTTCAAAATGAACCGGAACCAAATTTGGCCGTGGTTGACCATTTTATGAAGATAACCCAACAGCGTAAGTAATTGAAACATTCTAAAATCGTAACAACATTAATGTGACGCATTGGCAGATGAAAGAGATTTGAAGAATCAGGGCATCATTGTGGAGAACTTGCGCTATGGCGAAGGTCGGCGAGTAGTGGATGTTTTCTCTGATAATAATACACCCAACCAGAGCCCACTTTTCGTGTTCGTACATGGCGGCTACTGGCAGATGCTGGACAAGAGCAACTCTTGCTCGATCGTAGGGCCACTAGTGCGACAGGGATTCCGCGTGGCCGTCATGGATTACAATCTGTGCCCTTCCGTGACCCTCGAAAAGCTAATGACGGAGTTCAGTCAGTTCCTTGAGTGGATTTTCAGATATGCCGAGCTCACACACGTTATGGAAATAACATTCGCCGGCCACTCGGCGGGCGCTCATTTGCTGGCCCGGATCCTCAACTCACCCGACGTGGTCAGTCCCCAGCGGAGCCAGATGTGCTGGGCTCTGATCTTCATGTGCGGTGTGTACGACTTGAGGGAGCTATACAATCTGGAATCGGTGAATCCCAAAAACATTCTGGGCCTCGACGGACGCAAAGCGGAGGGTCTGTCGCCCATGCTTTGGACGTACACTAATGTAGGTAGTTGGAGATCGACGCGGATCCATGTAGTGGTCGCGGAGCACGACAGTGGTACCTTCATAGGGCAGAGTCGGCGCTTTAGCGAGGTTCTGTCGAATGCGGGCTTCCACACCACCTTTAAGGTCTTTGCAAAGTACGATCACTTCGACATAATAGAAGAGACGGCCATAGATGAGTCCGAAATAGTCCGGTATCTGCGCAATATCCGGAATGAATAAGCTATTTGTTCAGTTATTTCATCGTTATTTTACTTTGTAAAACAATCTCTTAGTCTAGTAGTATGTATTCCATATGTACACTAGCATATTGTGGCTTACTGGTACGGGTGCGGGCACTGCAATAAATTAGCTTGGTTTGGATAAAACAATAACTGAAGAATCGAATCTCGCCGGAATAAAGTAATCTTTGACCGAAATTTGTTCACAGTAAACTCAAATTAGAATTGTATTCAATGAAATAACTCTTTGTTAGCAGATATATTCACCAGACCTGCGGTCTCTAAGGCAATCTATATAGACATAGTTGATCAAAGATTACTTTTTCGCGTAGGATTCTTTATCAGGTAAGTCTATCCGTCCTACAAAACCAAGTTGTATTTCGTTTTCTTACAAACAATTTTAAAGTATAAACAGTAAATAACGCATATTTTTTACATTAATTAATAAATAAACTAAAGTACTGTGTGGTTAGCCAGGCGAAGGAGGAGAAGGTGTAGGCTATGGCTAATCCTCATCCAAAATAATAATCTCCTCTTCAACGATAGGCTTTTTACTCGGATTAGAGTTTGGATTATGCGCATGGACGAAGTTGGCGTTCAGACTAGAGACAGAAATTATCTTCAGCTTGCCGTTAGGCGGCTCCTCATCATCCTTTCCGGCGGCAGTCTCGGCTCTCGTTATATCTATCACTTCCTCATTGGAGGTCTCTGCTACTATCTCCGCCTCACCTTCGGAATCGACATCGCTTACCTCGCCGTTGACCTTGAAGTTGTCCACAAACTCGTCCACGTCCTCCTCGTCTTCAGATTCCGACTCATCCTCAGAGTCCTCTCCGTTGTCATCATTGTCTTTCGAACCGGAGGCGCTGGTCGCCCCAACTTCCTTCTTATGTGCTGTCGATAATCCGTTCATAAGGGCAGCGACGGCGGCCGCTTTTGCTGCTGCTTGAGCACTGGTGCAGGGCTTGTCGTCGTCCTCTGCCAAAGCGGCCAGCTTGGCAGCCTCCTCGGCTGCTTTTTGGTGCTTCAGCTTAAGGCGCGCCTGACGCTCCTCCGTATTGAGTTCCTGCTCACGAACGAATCTAAAACAAGTCAAAATATTAGTTATGAAACGATGATTGAATTATCAGCACCACGCCCGCTTCTAAACTCTGCAGCTATTTGGTTGAAAAATAACTTTCTGTTATTAATAATTAAATAGCAGAGAAGCGAAGCCATAACATAGTGGTGACAGTCTCAATTTGTGCTCACTTTTCCAAGACATCACTTATTTTCTTTTTCTTCTTGTTGTTCTCTTCCAGCTTTGCCAGCAGCTGCGGATCACTGACAGCCGGATCCTTGACATTCGCAGTGAAGTGCGTAACGGTTTCGTAAAGATCAGTCTTTCGTCGGGCCTGCAGCAGCTGCCCCACCTTGGTGAAGGCGTCTTCAGCTGAAAGGTATACAATATTTCGTTTTATATTTGTTCAATGTTTGAAGTTAAAGCATATCGTTTACCTATCCTCTTCATCTCAAAGTTGGCTAGTCCAAGATCCTTCTCCTTGTTACAGTGCTCCAGCAACTGGACCACATCATTGTAGTCAGGGAACTCCCTCATCCGGTTCACAAAGGCCGAGAGTGTGCGATTAAAGTCAGGATATGGAGAATCCTTAAATGTTATGGCCTGCTTCAGCCGACGGCTGGCGCTTTTGCTCTCTCCGGTTAGATCACAGATTTTCTCGTATATTTGGCAAGCGCGCTTCTTGTAACGCTCCACCTGCAGATAGCTGGAGTCCTCGTCGTTCAAGTCTACATCCGCCTCCTCCAGCAATTCGATCCGCTTCTTTATTGTGGCCAGGGTATGATTTAGCTTTCGAATGCGTTCACCTTGTCGCTTGTCAAGGGTGGGGGAATCGGGCTCAGGTTCCTCCTCTTCTGCTTCTGCTTCCTGATCTTCCGCCCTCACTGGAGTCTTTTCCCGCTGCTCATCCTGCGTATTCCGTTGCGTGGGTGTAGACGATATCGGTTTAGGGGAATCCCTTGTTGAAGATTGTGGCTTCTCTCTAACCCTCGATATCTGTCGGGCTTTAAGCTCATCCACCACACTCTTAATATGTAAGAACACCATGGCCGGCTTACTCTTGATACCCATAATGGCCGATTCGACCACATCGCGGAAAGCACCCGAATTCACGAAGGATTCGTGCACATTGTAATAATAACTTGTCAGTTTGCCCTCAGCTAAGCGCTTCATTTCCGGCGTCTTCTCCACGTCAAGACAGAGCTTCAGTAAAGCCGAGTACTCTGGCGTGAAGGGGGCTCTAGCCGGTGGCGAAGCTTTCTTAGGCTTCTCCTTCGGAACTGTTTTTTCATCTGGCTGCCGTCTATCTGCCGGGGTTTCTGGTAAAGCGTCCAAATCAACAATTTCCGGGTGAATAATAAGCGTTCCGGTTACAGGCGGTGTCACTTTATTCAGTATTTTGTCTCCTGTTTCTTCCTTTTTTTCCTCCGGCTTTTCCTCGGTACTTCCAGTCTTTCTCTCTGTGTCCAATTTCTCTGTGGGTGGCGTCGTTGGCGGTGACTCCACCAAGACAATTGTGGCCGATGTTGTGGACTGCAACTGTTCTCTCTCCTTTTGCTGCTGCTGTTGCTGCTCAAAAATATGCCTTCGCCACTCCTCGTCGGACTTCTTGAGAACGGTTATGGGCTGAATGCGCTTGGTGACGGAAGGCCTCGTCACCGCTGAAATGCTGGCCCCAGGTAGGGAGTTCAACTCGAAGGCCGCCGCCTTGGCCAGCTGCTGTTGCTGCACTGCAGCCGGAATTGCGTTCGGAGGTGGCGTTGTCGTGGGCGTAAGTTGGGGCGTAATGCTAGTCGTGGGTGGCAAGTTCAGCAGCAGCGGCTCGTTTAAGGGAGCTTCAGGAGGTTGCGGAGGCGTTGCCAGCAGCCGCAGCGGGGGCGTTGCGCTAGTTGTGAATCCCTGCAGATTTAAAGATGCCAGCGGGGGCGCTACCATCTTGGGATTCGTGCTTCTAAAGGGCAAAGTGCGAGCGGCGCTCATTCCTGTTGTTGCGTCGGTATTAATTCCCGTAGCTTGCGGCCTTATTCGGAAGTTATCTCCTCTGCTGTTGGTCGGTACCGGTGTGATCTTGGCCATCGTCGTGGGTCGCACAATCGGTGGATTGATTTTGTGGGGAAAGGCAGAAGTTGGAAGTAATACAGGTGGCGGTGGTGTCACCTTTTGCACCATGTGAGCGGGCGCGGGCGTCTGCTGGGGCATCTGCTCCTGAATTATCTGTTTATTTGCCTTCGATGTCACCTTGGGCGACACCCTTGGCTGCACCATGGGAAGTTTTTGTATCGTCATGGATTTGTGAGTGATTTGGTTAAAAGCGGGCAATGATGGTTTTTGAAGTAGAGGCGATTGCAGCTGGACTACATTCTGTGTGTCCATCACCGCTTTCTGCAGTTGCTGGGCCATCTGTGTCCTCTGTTGATGGCTAGCAGCCGGCGACGGTTTTTGTTGTAGGCTCCCAGGTGGCTTCTTCTGCTGCTGCCCTAACGGAACTTGCAGTGGTCCTTGCAATTTTCCCGCAATCGTGCTTTGTGGCAACTGCTGCTGCAGTTGTTGAACTTGAGCAATTGGCGCTCTCTGCTGTTGCAATTGTCCCAAGTATGCTCTATATTGCTGCTGCATTTGCAGTTGGTCGACAGATACGATGTTCGGTTGTACCACTGATGGCTTAGGTGCTAATTGAGAAGCTTTCGGTACTTGTTGCTGTAGTTGTCGCCCTTGCGCCGTAATGGTCTTCGTCACTGGCTGGTGGATTTGCACCTGGGAGATCTTCGGTGCTGGCTGTTGTTGCTGGACATGCACCTGGATGGTTTTCTGTTGTTGTATATTCATAATTGTCTTTGGTGGCTGCTGGTGAAGTTGTGCTCCGACCGCCGTTTTTTGTTGTTGTGGCTGTTGCAGAGGCTTGAGTTGCTTTTGAACTTTCTGTTGTTGTGGTTGCTGCAGGGGCTTATGCAGTTGTTGTGGTTGCTGCAGGGGCTTATGCAGTTGTTGTGGTTGCTGCAGGGGCTTTTGCTGTTGTTCCACTCCCAATGGTTTCTGTGGCTGCTGTTGACCCAGAGAAGCCCTTTGCTGCACCTGCGCCACGAGTCCTTTCTGTTGTGTCTTCTGCTGCTGCTGTTGTTGTTGTAGCTGAACGGCGAGCACCTTTTGTTGCTGCTGTAGCTGCTGCAGCATTTGACCCACTGGAGCTTTAGCTTTCCCTGAACTAAGCACAATTGGCTTCTGCTGATGTTGATTTGGTTGCTGCTGACCTATCCCAACCGGCGGGTGAATCTTCACTGGCATTCCCTTTGGCACCACTCCTGTGGGCTGTGGATTGGTGGCTTTTCCAATGGCTGCTATACGGTATTGCGGATTGGGTGTAACCTTCACTTGGTGACTGGGCACAGGGGTTATCACAGTATTCGGACTGGGCGTCTTGTTGGTCATCGACCATGCCACTTTCTGGGGAGCACTCAATCTCATGTGCTGCTTAGCCTTCACATTGTTGTTAATGCTGTGCGTGTTGTTGTTGTTGTTGTTATTGTTCTCGGTTAAAGTAATGGGTGTATTTCCATTAATTGTCGAGTTGTTCTTCTGATGCTTGGTTACTGTAATGCCACTAGGGATGTGCATAGATTGCAGAGGATCCGTCGGTTCGCTGATAATTGGCTTAACAGTCACTGCACCGACTCCGAGCGAGGCTTTTGGTATGTTGACAAGTTTGGCGGGCAAACTTTGTCTGATGTATGGGGTCGTAGCTCGGAGTGGCTCCTCCAGACGTCGACGCTTTGGTCCGGATGGTGACTGCGGAAAAAGTAATATGTTAATAATGAATAAATATTTCTATGTATTATGGTGAGAAAAATGTTGGATTCTCATTCAAATCTATCTTTAAAAGAAAACAAACTAAAGACTTCTCAATTACTAAAACCTTGCATTAATTGAGAAATATTTGAACTTAATTCTCAGGTAATATATTAAAAAATTGCGACTAAGACCACTTATTTAGGTTCTTCGGCCGACCTGTTGGCCCAGTGCATTTTAAATTTGAATGAAAATATCAACAAACAAAACCGCTTTACGCGCACGTGTCTGTGTGTGTGTGTGAGGGGATGTTTTGGAGACTTGCGAGCGCGCGCTTGGAGAATTGTTTTGATTTCGGCCCGTATTAGCGCCCACAAATTGCGTCTCAACACACACATACTTCGAGAGAGGGGCGCTGCGGATGAACGCGAACGCACACAAGCTAGTAGGTCTCGGCTAATGTAATTAGTGCTCACGATACGCCAATGCAAGTGCAAGACTCCAAAAGTCTCCATTCAAACCGTCCGGCAACACTGCGCGATATCTGCATATGTGTGGGTGGGTGTGCATGTCGTGTCTCGCTCTCAACAAAAGCAGCGCGAAAAAAATTAATTCCACACTACGCGAATCACGCACACACACTTGGCCAACAAGCCTATTTAAAATCCAACTGTACTTTTTCACACACACAGCGGCCCGGCCCACTGGGAAATTACCTCTTCCTCCGAGTCCGAGCTCAGGTCAACGCATACCACCGACGCAGACATTATTCCTGTCGAAACGACTCGCTCCGAATTTATTCACTTTTCTGACAGCCCTTTGATTCGATCGGGTTTCTTGACATTTGGACTCGCTCCCGTTGCTGCCTTCTAGTTTTTCACGCATATGGGCGATTCGCCTGCTTTGATCTCCTATTATATGATTCTCCTCTCTCAGTTTACTCGCTTAAAAACAATTACAACTTTTCTCTTTCCTAGTGGTGTGTTGTGAATTATCGATAGTTGATGGCTAGCAGTCTCCATATAGTGGAGAGATTTAGGGGCACACTAAAACTACGACTTGCCATTCAAAATTTGTTCAAGTTTATAAAATTCTTTACAAATCACAAAATTTAGGAAACCCAAATCTTCATGAACCTGATTAATGTTCTGTATGCGACTTTAGGCCATATAAATTTAAAATGTACTGTCCTTACACAGTGTTGCCATATCGACTACAATAATACATCGATTAATACCAAAATATTCAGCAATCCGATTGCTTGGTTTCGGTGGATTATCGTGCTTTAATATCACCACTAGTGGACAGCTGTTCTAAAAGGAAATATAAAACAACGTTAAATAGTAGGCGGGAAACAATCCTAATCGCACAAAAGTGAAACGAGAACATTAAATATTATTGTTACTAAAAAAACAGCCCTACTATAATTTAATTTTTTTATATTATTAAACTAGTCAATTTAAAGCTTTGCATTTGTATTGCCAACAAATTCAATTTTTTTTAAATAGGTTGCTAGTGGTGACAGTTGGGCAATACATTAAAGTGCCTAATATGAGACACGAACCATGGCTTAAAACTCGGGTTTGTGATGTGAACGTTTTGCGAAATTAAAATACTACAAATGTTTGTGAACTTTTGTGGTATTTTGATTTTTCTCAGCTGTTCAACAACTGCCGGGACAATTTTCATTTCATTTATTTAAGTCTTACTAATTTTGTAAAAGTGCTTGGCTGTTTTAATTTGTTTGTGTTTTTTCAAAATTGAAGCTTTATTATGCGCAGTCATTGAAAGCGGCGTCAACAAAAGGTAAACTTATTAGCGATCATGGTTAGGACCTTGCTAGGTCTGAATCTCTATTGAAAAAAAAAAAAAAATGATGCAATTGGAAGAAGTTTGAATGCAACGCATTGAAAAACGATAGTGGGTTTATTTCATCATAATCCAAAATACCTCGGATTTTATGTTAAATTCGTAAAAAAGACCTCCCAACAAAACAGCTTTTAAAACTAGACCCACTCCAAAAAGGCAAATTAACACAGGCATAATCAACCAAGATTAAAATAGTCATTATATATTTTTACTGCTTGCTTTATTCAATAAACTTTGCTTTGCACTTAAGTATACTTTGTTATCCATTATATAGCATAATTTACATTGAATTTATGTATATAGAGGTTAATCCAATATACTTGACTTTACTTGTACCCAACAAATGCTCATCTCTCAACCTATAGTCCCTTCTTAACTTTATATACAATATACGAGTAATATGTTGTTATTTAGTATTCCGTTACATTAATATTTGCTCAATTGTAAATTTTGTTTTGTTTTTAAACATTAAATATAGATATAATAGACTTGATTTTCTTTGGGAAAGACTTACAATATACAGCTAAAGTCTGGCTACACATCTATATTGCGATTTCCAAATATATATATTATATATGCGATATTTTTGTGGCTTTGTTTTTCGCAAACAGAATTTGACTAGATCAACTCGTGGGTCTACTCCTTGCCGTCGTAGAAATCCCTTCTCCGAATACGAATATTGCTCTATGGACTCGCCCAGCACGACTTTCGTTGTCTTTTCCCCAGTGCCCTGTTTCCCATTTTCAGTTACCCGCTCCCCACTTACCGATTCCAGTTCCCGAGATTTCACCTAGTGGTGGAAATAGACGTATCTGTATGCAGGCTACATACATCCTCCTCACCGACTAACCCAAAATTCTAAATCCTGACTAATCAAACATAATAAACAAGCTTAACTCGACTCACACATACAAACTAGGGTCGTTCTCGCCCCAACTGCTATTTTTCACTTAATTATTGCTAAGACCCCAGCATCCCCTCCACTCTCCACCCTCGAATCCGCCACCCATTGAGCACCGTTATTTTATTACTGTTTACCGTTCTCGAACGTCACTAGCGTCGTCCCTTTCCGCCGCGAGCAAGGAATAACGGAAGTGTGCCAATTCCAGTGTCAGCCATTGAGCGTTTCGGTGTGTTAATTGTTTTTCTCCACTCCGCCGCCCTTCGCCTGTTTCAAGTGCATTAAAAAGATCATGGGTGGTAAATTAACTTATTGGCGCGTCACTTCGCCGGCGACCGTCGTCGTTCCTCGGTCGCCAGGGCTGCTAGTTAACGGTAATTGATGCCTTATTTTTGTTGCTATTGCTGACAATTGTATGTACAGTAAACACACATAAATTGCACGCAAACTGATAGTCGAACCTCTATATAGCGATTTTTTTTGCTTTAGAATTTACAACAAAAACTGTACATTTTGTGCATTAGTAAGAATCATAAAATTTAGAAGAGCCAGACAAAGAAGCATGCCAAAGCCACCGGCTTGAGAGAATATTAATTAAAATTAAATACATTTTCTTTCTTTTCTTTTTCTGCACCCCGAAAACATTCTAAATACTAAGGATATATGTTCGATCTGCATCTGGTGTTTCGTTCGTCCGATTTGTACATTTAAATATAATTATGTTTCTGTACATACATTGCGACATATTCATAATACAATCATTTACAAGATTTATGAACTAGTTTCCAATGCTTTAACAAGGGTTGATTTTGTAGTTTTACTTTGACTAATTAACTTACTTAAATCTTTTATTCCCCCAAAAGGGTTTCGTTTTCTTTATATTACTAATATTTTGTAAATTCTAAATACGTATTATAACCATAGATGTTTTTAACTTACTGATATTTAAAGATGAGTTTGTGCAATTTAGATTTTATAATTTTGCCCTATTATATATATAATTGTATTATTTATAACTAATAACGTTAATAACTATCTGGTTTTTAGGCAAAGGGTTGGGATCTATACGAGACGCTTTTGATAGACAGGATCAGATATAGCTTAAACGGAGGATCGAATCGAAAATTGAAAAGAGTTAAGCTTAAAATATTCTCAATCTTTAAAACGATATTTATGAATATTTTTATATGACAATTTTATCGGCAAATCATAGTTTAAAAATCTCATAACTCAGTCAAAAAGAGCCAAAGAGTCTGCATACTTCAAAATTCTAGAAAATCAAAATTTTTTATCAAATTTTAAAAAATTTAATTATATATATATAATTATAAAATATTGAAAAAAATGCAACATTTTTTTTTCTCACTGAGACGTCTAGATTGACGAAGCTGTTAATGCTGATCAAGAATATATAGGATTTATAGGGTCGGAAATGAGTTCTTCTACTTCTAACTAATATAATACCTAAAGGATATTAAAGTGGGGTTAAACAAGTAGTATAACTCTTAATATGTTTCAATTCTATAAATTAAATAAGATTTGGCTGTTGATGAGAGACTATTATTTTGGTCTTTAATTGTATTTATTTTACAATTTTAAACGATAGATGAATTAAGCTGTATAGTGAGTGTATGTAGAGTGTAGCCGGCTGATTGATTATAGATTCTGTCTTTAAGCTATAAATTCTATTCACACTTGAATCCCAGCTTACCAGAGACCTCCATTATGATCACTTGAACCCGTCTCGCCTATGGCTTAGAGAAACTCCCGGAAAGGCTCGTCAAAGTTGTCATTGATATCCGCGAAAGTTGCGCCATTATTGCCCACGCCCACACCGATCCCAACGCCCACGCCCACCGCCGTGTTCCCATTGAGTATGAGCGTAGGTTGCTGCTGCTGCTGCTGCTGGGGCTGCATCATGCCGGCTCCCATGTGGCCATGACCCAGCATCGTCTGCTGATGCTGGTGCGGCGGCAGGTGAGTGCCTTGCTGCTGCTGCTGCTCCAGCGGCGTCTGCATGTGCATCGTCTGCGGCTGGAGGCTCTGCATCGTGGAAGTGGCTGTCACGGCGGCAGCGTTCAGCAAGCTGCCATCGGTGGCGGCCAGGAGGGCGCAGTCGAAGGCCCCGCCATTGGTCAGGGCATCCTCAAAGCAAAGCGTTGTGGCACTGGTATTTCCATTTGTACCATTTGCTGTTCCGCTAACCCCTCCGCTGTCTGCTGTGAGATTGGAGAGCAGAACACCGCCAACGGCCCCGGAGTTGAGCTCCATGGCTGCCGCCTCCTCGTTGCGCTTGGACAGAATGATGTGCGTCAGATTGATGATGTAGTTCTTGGCCAGCGTCAAGGTCTCGATTTTGGACAGACGCCGTTCCATCTCCACGTGCGGAATGACCTCGCGCAGCGACTGGAACGCATCGTTTAGGCTGTGCATCCTCATCCGCTCGCGCTCATTGGACTCCAGGCGCCGCAGGTTTCGCTCCTTGGCATTCAGCGCTCCCTTGCGCCGCCGATTGGCATTGGCGTTTGCATTGGAGGAGCTGGAATTAGCGCTATTGGGCGTGAGGTTGGATCCGCAGCCCCAGAGCCGGCCTGCTGGCTCCTTCCTCGACCAAGGGATCCCTGTCCGCCCTGGGAGCCTCCTGGTGGATGACCGTTGTTGGTGGTGCTGCTGCCGCCTCCATTACTGCTGCCACCACCACCACTCGTATCATCGCTCTGCGAACTTGAGTCCGTCATCTCGAGGTCGTAGGTGTTATTGCTTACCTGAAAGTCAACAGGGAAGTTTGGAATATCTGAAAATTATGGCATCTCCCCTTCCTCTGGAAGCTAAGATAGAATCAGTCCAAGTCCCTTACCTGTGAGGTGCGTCTGGTGGCTCGTCGCACCGGTCGGGAGGCAGTCCCTCCGCCGATTCTGGCGACAGGCCATTATGTCCGTCCGTATTGTAATTGTTATTGTTGTGATGCAACTGCTGCTGCAACTGCATAAAGTCATGACTGGTCATCAGTTCCGTCAGCTGGGTGGCATCCATGGTTAGGGAAATGTCCAAATCCAAACCCACAGTGAGTGAATATTCCGCTGAAAGAATGAACGCTTAAGTTGGAGCTTGAAAGAGTTACTGGGTTACTTTTTAGGCAGGATCATTATCATATTGCCTAATAGCTTGGTTAAACTTATAAAATTCTTCTAATATCTATAAAATTATGATTCCTTCTCGGTATATAATCTACAAATCTTTTTAGCCATTGTCCTGGGTAAAACCTGGCAGGTAGCTTTTACTAAAGAGATTAGATTTATTTAAGAGATTAGCTTAAAGTATGAGTCCAAAGTTGACTCTAGATTTTATAGTTTTCAAAATTCTGTAATCCAAAAGTTCCAGACAGCTAATGAAGAATTTACATCATCGTAAAAACGAAATATATATGATATTTGGTGTTCTATCAAAACATATCAGGATTCATAAATAATGTATCTTCTGTAATATCCTTTTGAATTTTCAGTATGAAAACTGTGAACGCTTTGGGTGTCTAATTTCCCACTCATTTATCATTGTTATTCTTTGATAATCCTTATCTGAAATCGATATTTGCTATCTACATCGAACATTACACGTGACTATTTGACACATAAATTAGGCTTGATGACACATATCTAATATTACTCCCTAAAAAATTATCTCGAATGGAAAAAAAGGAATTCGTTTATTAATGTTATTTGATTCGATTTTATTACAAGAGTTTTATGATTTATGCCCCACAGTTACACTAGAAATATTTCATATTTATTACCCAGAAAGTTTATACATTTTCTCATCTAAATAATACTAAATAACAAAAGAAAACTATATATACAGAAGAGTTCAATTAAGTAAATATACTTGACTTATGTGGTTTTAATCAAATAGTCCACTAATTAACTTGTTGACTGCTTTAAGAATCTGAGAACAGTGCTAATCAATGGCTGATTATTAAATAGTGAAGGGATAATTTAGTGCACTTCTTGGAAGACATTGCTGGTCAAGGGTCAGTCGGCGTGAACAGGATTGCATTGTACTTGAATTAAAAAGAAGAATGAAGCTGCGAGCAAAACGGTTACCGATGAAACGCGATTGCGGCGTTGTCGTTGTTATGGTTATGGAATGCCTTTGGCTGCCAGCATTTGACCCGGAACCCGGGTGCAGCATTTAAAGCGTGGGACAGACCAATGGACACGGATATCCGGGGGACACGCGGACACGGAAACCCAAAGGCGCCCGGGCGGTGAACATCGACTTTGCTGTAATAGAAAACGCGCACTTTGCGGTGCATTTTCTTGCCCGCTCGGCGTTGAGTGAAACAAAAGTGTCGCTATTATTTAACGACAACAGCTCCTTGGGCTCTAGACTCTTTGGGGTCTTTAAAAGAAATGTTAAGAGAAATGACTGCAACACAAAGCTTAACACAGCAGTGGGTCTTCCCTTCAGAAGAAGGGAATATGCCTTTTCTGACTATACTTTGTCTCATTGGAAATGTTTTGATTTAGTTCATAATCATATGTTGATGATGAAAATGTTATTCCATTACTTGAGAGTGGTTAAATGTAACATAAAACATATCAATTTTAAATACCTTACATGAAAACATAGAAATGTAAACCTTATTAAGCACTGACTAACTTTAAAACTAAATAATTTTTCTATATAGATCGCATTCTAAAATATCATGTTCTATTAAAAAGCGATCTCGAACTCCTTCTAGACTCTTCACCAGTAGCAGTGTATGAGGCTGTAACATTGCACTTAGGTCAAATTTGATTTTTATGTAATGGCCAGGAGCAGGGGTATTAAAAGAATTCTTAAGAAGGAAAAGCGGGAGGTCCAATAAGTCGCCGATTTGTCGCCATCCGATGGCCTTAAATGCAGATCCTAGCAACATGTTGGAGGCTTGCACTCCTTGCCGCCGCCGGTGGCGATTACACTGAAATTGCAGCTTCCTTTTGTCTGGCGTTGGCCCGGAGGGCACGAGGATCTTAGCAATGCAGCCGGCAGGCAGCACCTGGTCTTGTGTAATATTTATTACGCTTTCTAGTAAATAAAGCATACTTTTGCGCGCCTTTGTTTGTCCTTTCCTCTGCGTGGGTCGACACAAAGTTGCCACAATGCGGCACTGCATTTGACAAGTATTGGGAATTCTGTTGAGCTTTCCAGTGGAATGGAGCTATGTCAAGTATGAAGGACTTCAATTCAGCTTCGGGTATTCGATTTAAGAAAATTAACAATGTTTTGAAGTTGCATGAGGAGCTTAGGTTCAACTCTCGGTTTTGCTTTTCATACATTGTTCCTAATGTCCTTATTCCACAAGCCCATTTGAAAGAAAGTATAGTACCGAAACCACTTAAACTTTTACCTATCATTCTTTAATTTCTTCAGTATTATAATTATATTTACGAAATAAATCAGATTCTGGCATGTAGGTTTTAAGTTTTTTATATAACTATAACTATAACTTCAACTTACGTTTAATTTTAATGAATTAAAGTTGTTCTGCTTGTTAAGTTATCTTTGAGCATGCATGTCACAAAATCACGAAAACACTTTTTCCAACAATTCTCACTATTTTTTTGGGAACTTCAATATATTTTATTATTTTATTGTATTACAATCAATATTATACACTTTCTGCTTGTCTTAAAAATCACTTTATTGTTTCCCTCTCTCAAAACATTAATTTCTAATCATAAATTTCTTGTTTTTCAGCACAATTCGAATATATTTTTCAAAGTTTTGGAGCTACGACCGAATAGCGATGAATCAAGTATCGAAACTGAGCGCCCACCGAGAACCGGAAACGCGGAAACGCTGAGGATGACGGCCACTTGTGGAATGGCTGCAGCCACGAAGCGACAGCGTCGGCAGACCCGAGTCCAGGCCAAAGGCGAATCACAGGCCTCGCCGAGGAGCGCCGAGCTGAGCAACAAGTCCACCGCCCTGGAATGGGCTGGGGCTTCTACCCGCACGAAGGCCCGAATCGAAGCCAAAACTGGCGAATGGAGAGCAACTGAACGGGCTCAAAGCCTGAGTCAAATTCTGAGTGAGTTTCGTTATTTTCGTTTTTTGTGGAGAGTGGAAGTTGGCGCAAAGTGTCTGGAATAATTGTTACCCAGTAGGATCGATATATTGGAAAACTGTGAACACTGTGATCTCCCTTGACTAATCCCTTAAATTATTTGAATTAAAAACAAATATTTAGCATTATTCTTATTATATTACTTATATCTTCTATAACCCCTTAGTGTTTGATAATTTTTTTACATATTTTGGATGGTGAAGGATAACTTTGTATTCTTTAATTACTCTGTATACATATAAGTTGCCTTTAAATAGAAGTTGAATACCAATTTCTTCCCAAAACCAATACACCCAACAAACAGTTTGTCAACAGGAAGGCCACTGCGTCGTAGTCCTTATCACATTACACGTTATCCCGGTCTAACACACACTCACACACACACAAACACTGGGGCAAAGCCACCCCATAAGCCTCATTCACCCAACGGGGTGGCTTGTGTTTTGAGTTTCTAGACATGCACACCACGTGCTCGGGCCCAACTCCGGACCGGACCGGGCCGGGCCGGGGGGTACTAAGGCCCAGGGGGCAGGGGCACTGGGAGGGAGTACGACATGGTCGTGGACTGGGGCATGGGGGTGCCTGGGTGCCTGGGTGCCTGATTAGTCCCGCTGACGCATGTTGCTCTCAGCGGCCTGCATTCGACCGCGGATGACTTCCCACTTGGCCGACGCCAGCTCCTTTGTTACCAACTCCGATTGCCTGGGCTGGCCGGGCTGTATACTGTATACTGTTATTATTATTATCGTCTGTTTGTCCACGCTCTTGTTGCTGTTGGTTATCACAGTGCTTACGTCCTTATCGGGTGGGTTTTTATCTCATGATAAACTATTGTCGACAGATAATAAAATGTTGCCAGAAAGTTATTTAGCTTTTCCGAATGTTGCGAGTTTCCCCACGCCAACGAACGCATGTGTGTCTTTGTGGTTTTTATATCACATAGCTCAAAGGGTTTTATTTTTTAATATTGTCAGGAATATTGAAGGACTAAAGGATTGAAAGTTGTGTATTGACTTTTAAGAGGAAGCGAAAGTTATGGGGAGTTTCATCTGAACAATTTTTTTTAAAAGAGTATGGATATTATACATTTTAGTTTTTGATGTTCATTAAACCCCTTTTATAATTGATAAGCTAGTCTTTCTAATATTGAAAAACTTGAAGTAAAAATGTAATTAGGAGCTCACTTTAATTACCAGAAACTTTGAAGGCTCTTAAAGTAAGTAATTTCCTACTACGCTGATTCCAAAAATGAATATTTGTATATATATTTTTAGGACAATATTTACTCGTGGCAGTCAAGAGTCTGATAAAAATAAGAAAACTTGAATGGCAAGTGCAGTGCCTTGCAGTTACGCATCCTTCGTCCTCTTTGTTCACAAATTCCTCTTCACCCAAGTGTTGCCAAATGCAAATTGACAGTTAATATTTTTAAACTGGCAACTCTATTCCAAGGGATGGCTGAGCAAAAAATAAAATAAAGAGTGGGCCGGGGAAGCTGTTGTCGACAAGGACATTATGTAAATCACACGGCGGCGGCAGGGTAAAGCGTTGGCGTACTATCTGCCTCCTTTAACCCCCCCCCTATGGGTGGAAATAATAAACAGGAAGGAAAAACAGAAAGAGCTGCAGAAGGCAGCAGTGTAGCCGAGAGCGGCTTACAATCCTTGGAAAAGGACCTTTTGATTATTCCCATTCAGCAAAGTTTTTGCCCGTTTGCGGCCTGCACCACCGAGGTCGTTCGCTGCCCATCAACAGTTGGTTGTGCGTGTCTGGACCCATCCTGGCTGCAGTCCTTACCCTTAACTTATTAAACCTATCATTGTACTCGACATTTCGTCAAGGACCAAACCGAGTAAACAAATGCACTAATACTGCGAATATGTTTGGTTGTGGAAGGAGAAATACATTTGGAAGTAATTGCTAAGAGAAGAGTTCTTATTTATGATTTAAAGCATACAAATTCAATTAAAGATTAATACAAAGAAGTATGTTTATAAAACAAAGTAAATCATATAACTAAATAGCTAGGAGTCATTTCTTTAGAATCATTGTAATAGTGCATATACAAAAATCTTTTCAAAAGTAATAACTATTTAAATTCCAGTTAAATGACTTATTTACTGGTTCGTTTATTTTACCTGATACTTGAATTATTAATACATATTTACCACATATATATTCTTCAAATACTTAGACAACTATAGATCTATCCAACAGTTTTTGGATAATTATAACTGATTATTAACCTTTGAAATTCTATAATAACCAAATGATCTACATTTAAACTCTTGTAACAATAGCAAAGTTAGATTCGTAAAAAAAGCGTGTATTCGTATATATTAAATAGGATAATTTCGTTGTTAATCTATTCTTTTCTCTCGCGCTCCCTTCAAACCCATCAATCATGGCAACCGCAAAACTGAATTCAAATCCCAACCCCGGGCGCAGCAGCAACCAACAACGCCTTTAATGCAATCAGGAGAGAAGTCTTTACCACACGACCGGCATTTTAAGCAGCCCGCGATCGACATGTTTAAGACACAAATTTAATCATGGCACAGGGCACACAGGGAATCCTCCATCTTCCCATTCCTCCATCGTAGCCATCAGGCCTCTAAGTCGACGCTCAGCGTCAGGCAAGGGGAATCACACCCGCGGTTATTTAAAAATGCTAAAACAAGAGAAAATATTGTTAGGCAATAATAAATAGAAAGGGGGCGTTGGGTTGTGAACGAGCGAGAAAAGCTAAGTAGACGACCCTGCCCTCGGGGGCCAAGCCATCCTACGCGACCTGTCAAATGTCAATAGCAAGAAAAAAATAAATCGTCCTTCTTGTCGTCGTCAACAGCTGCTCAGCATCCTGGTGCCCTTCTCCACCGATCACTGGGTCTGATGGCGACCCCTAGTATTTCGGATGGGAGCAGGAGCAGGAGAAGTTGGTTGGTTGGTCAGTCAGTTGGCATATTTACATTTATTATGGCAAACTCTCACAGTGCCGAGCCTGACGACTGTCGTACACATACTTCTTACATAATCGGCTTGTAATATTTACTCCCCTGAAGTTGGGGCTGGGAGACGAGATGTGGTTTCCAATAAATATTGGGGTCAAATCGATCAAGAGTGGGAGAAGTGGGTATTTATGGCAGGATTTTTAAGTGAGTCATAGAAATTCTATGAATTTAAAAACAATTAAAATAGTGGTCAAAAAAAGTGTCACAATATGATATAGTAACAAATTTGTTCAAGATTGATAAGACTTCAAACATTAAATCCTTACCCTTCATACATATTTATAATTCATTCTTAGTTCACTCTCATTTACAAATGATATTTACACGCTTAAAAATAGCTCAGCTTTAAGGACATCCTTTGGTCTGCAATTCAAGGAATATCTTTACAAACTGGTACTTACTCAAGGACTTGGCTGCTCGTTAAGTCTTAAGTCTTTGAAAAGGGAAAATAAAATAAGTGCAAATAATTATTATTTACACAGTGGGCCATGGGAAGCGAGAGAATTTATAGCACACATTTTGATTTAACGATCCGGAAGGAGAATATATGTAACATACCATATATGCAACATGTATGAAAGGCGGCTTTTAGCATGCTCTCCCTCGTCCTTCTTCGTCCTTCGTGCCATATTTATTAACCCTCCTTTCCCATCCTTTGGCTGGATTCGCTTCGGTGGCTCAAGAGCTGCTAATTGGTGTGATTAAAAAGTTGGAGGCGAGCATTTTAAAGATATAACCAAGGCAAATATTGCGCATACGTCATGTGGACGCCTGCCTGCCTTCCTGCCTGTTTTTTGCGACAACGCCACGCCCTTAACTGCTTTACAATGTTAATGTAATCAAAGTTTAACTTCCGCCTGATTTGTGATCATTTTCATAATCAAACTTTAGTAGCGAAAAAGTATAAACTCATTGCAGGTGAGCCTTGAAAAAAAACAACAACAAAATTACATCTAAAAAGGTTGCTTTTGAAAAATTAGCATTTAAATTACGGGAGAAAGTTCAATGAAGCGCTATTAATTGGAATGTCCTAGCCGGAATGGCAAGTGGGGGTAAAGTTGGCCAGGAGGAATGGTTAGGAATAGGATAGGATAGGATAGAACCAACCGCGCAATGACGTCTTTCGCCTGCCTTTGATGGCTCGCAGTTTGCACCTAGAAAATGACACGATGGATAATTGTTATTGATGGCGGATTACGAGACTCTGGAAGTTATACTTGGGGAACGTTGCGGAGCCATCGAATGTCATAGGCATTCATGGCAGGCCTTGAGGTCTGTTAATGAGGCATTCGAGATTTACATAAGTTGTCCTTAATTTAATGGTAAATATTTCTTCATTATACTTTGGTTAAGTCTGAAAATGAGCCTAGCCACGTACAAGTAACAAATTAAATTAATAATCCCAACATTCTTCTAAGATTTTCCCACAAATTTTTTAAGATCTGTCTGCTTTAAATTTATTAATACACCATTTCATAAGACTTCAAATCTACAACAATTTATGTATCACTTCGGTTATCAAATTGTAGTATTATTTTACTAAGATATGCAAATTATACATAATAATTTTGAATTAATTTATTATGTAGTTTGGGTAACACTTTCACATTCCGGCAGGGCGTCAAGGACATCGGCATCACACTTTATAATCACATTATGTGCCCACCTATTCCTCCTTCCTCATGTGTGTATGTGGTATATAGGATGAAAAACAGCAATGCATATTTTAATTTTCGCACACCACGAGACAAATACAACTCAGGGAGCGGATGAGGGGGCTCAGTTCTCGCCTTGGCGTCCGACTGGCGCCGCTTTGACCAGGCCGCAAATGAGCAACGCCCCCTGGTCCACCCCGTAGTACACATTTTCCCGCCCTCAAGGCAGACGCCGCCACCCTTTAATCACCCATCGGGGCACACATACACTTGCAAAATACACAGGAGAAAAAATGGT